CCACAGCCCGACCTAAGACAGAAGCGCAGCCTTCCAGAGCACGAGACCCTCGGCCCACACGGCACCACCGAGGGTACCCTCCCCAGGAGGCACGACGACATCCAGCAGGCACCAAGAACATCAAGGTGCCCTCCTCCTCCTCCTCCTCCTCCTCCTCCTCCTCCTCCTCCTCCTCCCCCTCCTCCTCCTCCTCCTCCTCCTCCTCCTCCTCCTCCTGCCTCCTCCTCCTGCCTCTCCCCGAACCGACCTCGATCTTCTGCCTCGGCCCCGCCGTCACTGCCCAGGCCGCCCGGGCCCTGGCTCGCCTCTGGGGTCTCCTTCCTTCGCTTGGCATCTGCGGGGTCCCCGCACTCCGGCGCCGCTGGTGCACGGCGCCCGCGCCGCGCACATCACATCGTCGGGGCCCTGGGAGCGCCCGAGGGCCGCCGAGGACCAACAGAAACGTCGGGGGGGAGACCCGCATCCCAAACTGTTGCCATGTTTGGGAGGCGCATGCTTTACTTCGGCCGGCACTTCCGCCAGCCTCCGCCGCCGGAGCCGCCCTCGCTTCGCGTTCCGCCGGCCCTCCGCAGCCCTCTGCCGAGGGCAACGATGCCAGCGCCTTCGGTCCTCAACGAGGCTCGCAAGCACGGCCCTTCCTTGTCGGGAACGCCGCGCGACCGCCAGGAGGAGGAGGAGGAGGAGGAGGAGGAGGAGGAGGAGGAGGAGGAGGAGGAGGAGGAGGAGGAGGAGGAGGAGGAGGAGGAGGTGAGGAGGAGGAGGAGGAGGTGGAGGAGCGGGGGGGAGGAGGGGGAGGTGGAGAGAGAGGGGAGGGAGAGAGGAAGACAGACGAGGGAGACCAAAGAGGACGCCCAATAGGGGCGGCGCCCCCCTCTGCCGCGGGGCGGGCGGGGAGCGGCGGCGCGGGCCAGCAGCACCCGACGTAGAGGAACACGGACGAAGAACCGCGGCGGCCCCCGCCGCCTTCGGGGGGGGGGGGCGGGGGCGGGCGGGCGAGCACTCGGCCCCTTCGCCTTCGGGAGGGGGGGGGGGGGCGCCTTCGGGGGGGGGGGGGGGGGGCGCGGCGCTCCCGCCGCCTTCGGGGGAGGGGGGGCGTGCGGCCCCCGCCGCCTTCGGGGGGGCGGGGCCGGGGCGGGCGGGCGCTCTCTCTGCCCAGAGGCCTCTTCGATGGGGTCAGAGTGGATGGGGTCGGAGGATCGCGCCGCCTGGCCGCTGCATCGGCGACACATCGACGAGGCGTCGGCGATGCATCGGCGACGCATCGGCGATGCGCTGGCGACGCCAGCGTGGCGGAAATGGGGCTCCACATCGAGCCGCATCGCTGATGCATCGCCGATGCATCGGCGATGCGGCGCGATCCTCCGCCGACACCATCTGCTCGGACCCCATCTAGGAGGCATAGACTATCTCTGGCGGAGGGAGCCGGCGGAGGAGGAGGCTACCGTATGAGATGAGTTCGTCCTCATCTGCCCTGAGATCCTGGCGTGGCCATTTTCTCGAGCCGGGCTTTCCCGCCCGGTTTCGAGCGCCAGGGCCCTCGTCGTAGATCCATCCGGCCCGCAAGAGGACGCAGAAAGATTGGGCTCAGGGCTCTGGTCGCTCTTGCGACGTGGCAAATTTGCTGCAACGGCGGACCTCAGAGAATGGCCACCCCGAGGCAGATGCACGGGGCGGCAGCGGGGAGAGGGTGGGTTCGCCTGGCGCGAGCATGCCAAAGACGCGGCACATGCTGGGCGGAGGCGGCGGAGGAGCCGCGGACGAGGCGGGCGCGGGCAGCAAGACCGACGAGCGGATGGAAGGAGGCGCGGGCTGTGAGGGGGGCCAGCGGTGGGGGGAGGAGCAGGAGGAGGACATGCACACTGATGCCGAACGTGCAAGCTGCCACCGCCGAGCCACGTTTTCCCCCATCCAAAACATGTATGTCTTGGTTTCTCTGCACGCCCCCCCCCGCGCAGGAGAGTAGTCTTCACCCCCCTCTCCTCCTCACCTCGTTTTGCACTCACCATCACCATCACACCGCCAGCATCATCACGATCACCATCCCATCAGGCTCATAAGCCACGATCGTCATCGTACTCATCATCACCAGCATCATCAGCATCATCAGCATCATCATTATCAGCATCATCATCGTCATCATCATCCTCATCCCGATCCCCATCCTCCTCATCATTATCATCACCATCATAATTATTTTCGTCATCAACCTCAGCATCATCATCCGCATCATCAACATCATCAACACCATTATCATCATCGTCATCACCATCATCATCATCATCATCATCATCATGATCATCACCATCAACAACATCACCATCATCATCGTCACCACTGGCATTGCCAGCACCGTCGCACACCACCATTCTCAGCACTACCATCCCCCATCATGATCATCGATCAGCATCGTCATCAATCATCAACATCATCATCATCATCAGCATCATCATCATCATCATCATCATCATCATCATCGCACACCCACACATTCGATCACTCACTCACACACTCTCCATCATCATCATCATCGTCATCATCATCATCAACATCATCATCATCATCATCATCATCATCATCATCATCATCAGCTTCATCAACATCACCATCATCGTCGTCACCACCGGCATTACCAGCACCGTCGCACACCACCACTCTCAGCACTACCATCCCCCATCATGACCATCGATCATCATCGTCATCAGTCATCAACATCATCGCACACCCACACATTCGATCACTCACTCATACACTCTCAAATTCATATTGTTGTTGTCTCAAGCGGGGGCCTCGTCCGTGAGTGAATAGCACGGAAGTCTCGAGCGGGAGCCATCTCCCTATAGGCCCCCACATCATGTTTCCCCACCTTATAAATGGGCATTATTTGTGAGCTCCGTAACATGTCTTGCAAATGCTGACGGAAGGCTCGAGCGGGGGCCTCTTCTGTGATAGAATTGCAAGAAAGTCTCAGGCGCCAGCCCCCCTTTCCTATGGAGCCCGCAGCTCATACAGGCAATCCGAGCGGGTCATTGGCCTACTTCAGCAGGCCTAGCACTTGAGCGCCCCAAGGGGTCGCAGCTTTACTTCAGCACCTGAGTACTCCAAGGGGGCAAATCGTGAGGATGCCTCGGGAGGGAGCCTCGTCTGTGAGTGACTGGTGGGGAAGGTTCAGGCGGCAGCTCCCTCCCGATGGGGCCCGCAGATCGTGTTGGTAATCCGAGCGGGTCATTCGGTCATTGCAGTGGTCATAACACTTGAGCGTCCCAAGGGGGCAAATCGTGAGGATGCCTCGGGAGGGAGCGTCTTCTGTGAGTGAAACACGAGGAAGTCTCAGGCGGCAAGCCCCTCCCTACGAGGCCCGCAGCTCATGTTGGCAATCCGAGCGGGTCACTAGGGCACTGTAACAGTCATAGCACTTGAGCGCTCCAAGGGGGCAAATCGTTAGGATGCCTCGGGAGGGAACTTCATCTGTGAGTCATCTGCGAGAGGAGGAGGAGGAGAAGGAGGAGGAAGAGGAGGAGGAGGAGGAGGAGGAGGAGGAGGAGGAGGAGGAGGAGGAGTTGGAGGAGGAGGAGGAGGAGGAGGAGGAGGAGGAGGAGGGAGGAGGAGGAAGGAGGAGTTGGAGGAGGAGGAGGAGAGGAGCAGGAGGAGGAGGAGGAGGAGGAGTTGGAGGAGGAGGGAGGAGGAGGAGGAGGAGGAGGAGGTGGGAAGTTGGAGGAGTTGGAGGAGGAGCAGGAACAGGAGAGCAGGAGGAGGAGGAGGAGGAGGAGGAGGAGGAGGAGAGGAGGAGGAGTTGGAGGAGGAGGAGGAGGAGGAGGAGGAGGAGTTGGAGGAGGAGGAGGAGGAGGAGGAGGAGGAGTTGGAGGAGTTGGAGGAGTTGGAGGAGGAGCAGGAGCAGGAGGAGGAGGAGGAGGAGGAGGAGGAGGAGGTAGGAAACTCCCCCGGTTCGCGGCCAGATTGCGGGGATGCCTCCAACACTCTGCGCGGTCGCGCCGCCTGGGCTCCGGGGCGCGGTCCCGCGGATACGCGGTCGCACGGAGGCTGGGGAACCCCTAGAAGGCACCGATGCCGCTCCTCCACATGTGGATGCCACGATCATGGACACTCTTTTTGGTCTGCGGGTCGAGAGCGAGCCTCTTCCGGCTAAAAGCTGGGCGGGCTACGCAAAGCTCGAATTATGGAGACAGAGATCATGGACACTCCAACAATCCCATGATTGAAGTAACCGTGTGTTTCAAATGTGTAGCACATGTTCTAACAATGTTTCGACCATGCTTTTGCATGTTTAAATCATGTTCGAAACATTCGTAGACATCTGGAAATTACTTGGCAGCATGCTTCCTCTCCATTAATCGACTTCCACAATCCTCCACGGCCCTCCCCTGGGGTACGATCTGACCGAAACTTCGAGGAGACTCCAGCGGTGGCGACGAGGGCCTCCCAGGAGGGCCAATAATAAAGGGGAAGGCGAGAGACGGGTAGCAGTATGGCTGAATACCTCTCCCTCCTCTGAGCCGGGGTTATGGATTTGTTCTTTGCCCATGCCGGAGTCGGGGAGACGTAAGATTCGGGTACGGGGGACTCGGGTTGCTCTGCCGGGGCCATCACAAAACTGACGAGACCCAAACAGGAACTTGACGCGAGCTCCCGCTGCGGACACCCCACGAAAACTGGACCGCCCAAATCCGGGACGCGCTCGTCAAGAACCGTCGGCAAACCCGAGTTCTAGCTCACTCGAGTCTCGGGGATGGACAGACCCCCCTTTAGCAAAACGTGGTTTAGTGAAAACGACCTGAGGCCCAAACCTGGCGGGCACAAGCCTGGAAAGCAACGGCCACGGCGCCCTCTCGAACACCGAAGACGGACAATTCACGAATCGACGTGTCACTGTTGGGGGCTCTGTCCACCCCCGAGAGTCTGGAGAGTCTCCCCGACGGAGAGTGCCGCCATCAGCGCGCACAGCCCGCCGAGCGCGGCCACGTGCAGCACCCGCGCCGGCAGGCTCAGGGCGCCCAGGCCGAGCCCGGCCGGCGGCCCGACCAGGGCGTCCTCGGCCGCGCCGCGGGGCGGCGGCGCCGCCGCCGGCCAGGCATCCGTCGTGGTGCATCTCCTCCTCCTCCTCCTCCTCCTCCTCCTCCTCCTCCTGCTCCTCCTCCTCCTCCTCCTCCTCCTCCTCCTCCTCCTCCTCCTCACTCCTCCCTCTCCTCCTCACTCCTCCCTCTCCTCCTCCTCCTCCTTCTCCTCCTCTCCCTTCCTTCCCCATCACCCCCTTCCTTTAATGCATCCTGCGTAGAAAAAATATGATCGACCCACGAACCCCGGGAGGGCTTGAGAACTGCGAGGCATGGAGCCGTTTCGGAGGACCCCACTTGCATAACTGCAATTGGGCGATGCCAGAGGGGGCATACCAGGGGCCAGGGGGACGCGCCGCGAAACGTTCCAAGGGACACGCCAGCGGACGTGCCAGGGGACGTGCCATGGGGACGCACCGCGGGACGTGCCAAGGGGACGCGCTACGGAACGTGCCAATGGACGTGCCGACGCAGAACGACATAAGGAACGAAGCTTTTCTTCTGGCCCCAAAGGCGCCAGCGCGCACGAGGGCTAGAAAAACAACCACATAGTGACCTCAGGAACATCGAGCCTCTTTCGTGCCCAAAGCGTTCCTCATTTCATCGTATTGATCGTACCCCTGGGGAGGGGGTCGGGACTTCTGGAGCCACGGCTTGAAAAGTCATGTCGGCGGGAGTCAGGGAGGGCAAGTTTTTTTTGTTTTGTTGTTTGTTCCCATGGCCGTGCCGTCACCACTGGGTCTCACTCCCCAGAAATTTGTACGAGGTGATCCGACCTTACGCCCTAGAAGCGCAACTGATCATGAGAGGCCGTACGACATACCTTCTGCCGCTGGACAGAAAACGCAAAATGTCCATCCTGGTAAGCAGCGGTCACAACCACAGCTAATGCACCGCGACGCCACCACGTGCAGAGAAGGCACCTGGCTGCCAGGCACAGGCTTCGAGCACGCAGGGATCTGTCTTCAGTTCCCTGGTTCCAGTGGCAGTCCTCGGCTCCTCGGTTCGAGTGCTTCTGATTTACAAATCCTGGCTCCTCGTTCCGAAGATGCAAGTCCAGTCTTAACAAAAACGAATGACAGCCGATCATTCAATAAGAGGCCAAGCCCAAGGCACGACCACGTAGACTCAAAAATCCGACCTTTTCATGAAAAACGAATCATATAAATCTGCACCGCGGGACAAGCGCTCATGATGACACTCTGTCCTGCCAATGCGGCCGCACCACTCTCGCGGGAAGGGCGCTTCTGTGAACGCCGTGTCCTGCCAGCGTGGCCAAAACGGAAGGAGCATAAGGGGGGGAAGGAGTATCCAATCTCGAGAAGCGCTAAAAGCCGCGGGCGCTACCGGGAACCGCCCCTGCCGAGACCCGGGTGGGCCAGAGACTCGGTGGGACTCTACTGGGGAACTGCTGAAGAACAGCTGTGGCACAGCAAGCTGCATGCCAACCGAGGTTGCTTGCAAATTCGAAAAACTACGTGCCTGCGCCGAAAACCGATCAAGGGCACGCTCAGCACGGGAAGGATTCACGATGCAATGTTGAATCAAATCATGGAGGGAGGAGGGGAAGCATGAACAAATGTAGCGCATGGCGGCGTGAGGTGTGGGCTCTTGCCCGTCTGTGACAAAAACCACGCGCGTGGCAAAGCCCCACCTGCCTCTCAGAAAGCTGTCCGCTGCAGCCCTGGCGTTCCCGTCTGGGGCTCAAAGAACTAGCGCGAGGGAATGTCTTTGACAAGACGGCTCGCTCAGAGTACTCCACGGACGGCCGTAATATCAGCTCAGAAAAGCCGAAGGCCGATGGACGGTAGGCGGCGGCGGAAGCTCGACAGCCCGCTACGAAGCAAGGGGTGAGACTGCGGGTGCAAGTGCGGTTGATAACGTAGGGGGTGACTGCTTCACTCCGTGGCAATCACCGTGTGATAACAGCTGGCTCCGGCTAGCCGCGAACGCCCCGATCTACTCCACAGTGCTGGGATCGTTCTTCGTGCCGTCCTCGTGTGCGCCGAGATCGTGGTCGTCGATCATAACGCTGCGACGACTTCCTCTCCGAGAGGTGTGGGCGGACCTCGTCGTCATGGAATCGGTGGCGCCGAACGCGTCCGTCTCTGCCGTGGCCAGGCTGGCGGTGCCTCCGGTGGCGCTCCGGAACAGCTCCATGCTGCGCTGGAGGTTCGGGACGCCCCGGAGGACGCTCGAGACCTTGGGCGCCCGAGTTATCCGGGGTAACTCGGGTCCGGGGTAACTCGGGTTCGGATTCCCGAAAAAGGAACCCGAGTTAGCCCTGACCCGAGTTCCCCCTGATGATGTGGGGCTCTGGACGCCCGAATTATCCGGGGTAACTCGGGTCCGGGGTAAGTCGGGTTCGGATTCCCGAAAAGGGAACCCGAGTTAGCCCTGACCCTTACTCCTGATGATTCGGGGCTCTGACCACCGTCGGCTGGTCCCTTCCCAGCGACGGGTGCGCCAGCGCCTCCTCGGCGCTGCACCGAAACAGCGGCTCGCGCTCCAGCAGCGGCCTCAGGAAGCCCGCCGCGGGCCCCGGCGCGCCCAGGAACCTCGGGCTCGGCTGGCCCGCCCGGATCGCCTCCTTTTGGCGGCGCGCACAAGGGGGTAGGGGGAGGGGGGAAGGCTTATTGGAAGGAGGCTGCTTCTTAGAAGGCACCGGGGGCTGCTTCTTAGAAGGCTTCTTAGGAGGCTGCTTCTGAGAAGGAGGGTACGGGGGACTCGGGTTGGCCCGACGGGGCCATCATAAAAATGACGAGGCCCAATCTGAAATTTGACGCGAGCTCCCGCTGCAGGCATCCCACGAAAACTGGACCGTCAAAATCCAAGACGCGCTCGTCAAAAAAAAGTCGGCAACCCGAGTTCCGGTTTAATCGGGTCTTGCGTTCCCCCGATCCTTGGCGGCGCAGCGGCTCATCTCCTTCGGCACGTACGGGAGCTCCCCGAACAGGATGAGGTAGGCCATGGCTCCAAACGACCAGACGTCCGTGCCGAAGTCGTAGAGGTCCCCCAGCACCATCTCCGGGGACATCATGGGCACGGTGCCCGCAGCTCCGCGCAGGCCCACGACGGAGGGCTTCAGCCTGCGGGAAACGCCGAAATCGCAGAGCTTCACGGTGGCGCCGTCGGTGCCAATCCGCCGACCCCCTGGGGATCATCGGCGTGTGAGATGCTTCCCCCTCCCCAAACACCTCCCCCCAGAGCCCGGTCCGGAGGATTTGGAGGGGGGGGCCGTCCGGCCCGAGCTCATCAAGAGGGTCCAGCCCTTCTCGGGCTCCTTCTGGAGGTCCACGACAGCTTCTGGGGCCGCCCAAGCGAGGCCCCCAAGACGGTCCGAGAGGGCCCCGAGACGCCGAAAGATCGTTCCAAGACGCCTCAATGAGATGCTTCCCCTCCCCAAACTCCTCCCCCGGAGCCCAGTCCAGTCGATTTGGAGGGGGGGGGCAGTGCGGCCCGAGCTTATCAGGGGGGTTCGGCCCTTCCCGGGCCCCTTTTGGAGGTCCACGACAGCTTCTGGGGCCGCCCAAGATGCCCCCAAGACGGTCCGAGAGGGCCCCGAGACGCCGCAAGATCGTTCCAAGATGCCGAACATGGGCCAAAAGATCGCTCCAAGACGCCTAACATGGGCCGAAGACAGCCCAAGAGGCCGCCAAGACGTTCCAAGAGGCCTCCCACGAGGCCTCCAGGCCAAAATCTTCAAATTCCCTCAGGAAGACGTGCGTTTCTAGCGCATGCGATTTTTCCGCCATCACCGCGCGGAAGCCCTTCCAAGGTGCCTCCGAGACCGCCCTGAGACGGCCCCATAGGCTCTCAGGAAGCCCCCAACACGGCACAAGAGGCGCCCAAAACGACCCAAAAGGGCTCCAAGAAGACCCCAAGAGGGGCCCGAAAGGGGGACCACGAAACGAACATTCCAGCCGTCCGCCTCTAGAGGCTCCCAGGAGGCCACAAGAGGCTCCCAAAAGGCGTCCAGACGCCCCCAGAGACCTGGATCGATTCTCGACGGACCTAGAACGCCGAGACGGCCTCCAGAGACCTGACAGCCCCAAAATCCCCTCGAGACTCGATCGTCGAATTACCTCGAATCTCAATCGACATATCTCCTCCAACCTCTGCCACGCCGCGCTGGTCACGCCCCCGCGGGCGACCCACAGTGCATGCCTACGATAGGAAATGCGCCGACCCCTTGAGGTGCCATCGGCGTGTGCGATGGACCCAGCCAGCCGTATACTCCGAGCCCGGGACGACCGCGCTATGAGGGGACAGAGGGCCCCCCATTCCCTTCGGAACATCATAGTTCTTTTTCGCATGTTCGTCTCGTGGGCTTTCAGAACGTCCTAGACAGCCTCAGAGCCTCTCAAAGCCGTCCCAAAAGAACCTAGGAAGCCCCCAAGCAGACTCAAGGTGCTGAAGAGGCCACCCAGCCACGTTGCCACGTTGCCACAAGCCCCGAAAGACATCCCACGGGACCCCATGACCCATCAGGGTGGCCTCGGACCCACGAACCAAGCACGATAACGGGATGGCCCGAACGCACCAGATCGAAGGTTAGGGGGGTCTGACCGCCAATGCCCCCAACCAAAAAATCGGTTTTGGTGTCGGTTCATGTCGTCCATGGGGTTCTCCCGATGGTTGTCCTGATGGCTGTCGGGATGGTTGTCCCGGTATTGCCCTACGAGACCCCAGGACCGTCGGAGATCGATCGGAGATGAAGAACTGCACCGGATGGACCACGGGAGCGGCCATGGGCTGGACCCCTGAGGCCTCCAAGGGGCTTCCCCAAAAGACCCCAAGCACAAAGAGCGAAAACAATAGTATTTTCAGAAAGTTCGCCTTTTGACACCAGGAGGGCTCCAAGACGGCAAAAGGACCACCGGGAGAACTCCAAGACGGATTGAGAAACTCCGAATCAGCCGGACGAAGAACTGGAACGGACACTTCGAACCTTCGGCTCCAAGACGCCCCCAACGTGCCTCAGGGACCCCCAAGAAGCCACCCAAAAAACAGAAAGGGGTCGGCGGTGCGGCGTAATCCTAAGAATCAAGAAATTGTCCATCTTGACGTCGCGGTGCACGACTCTGGCGCGGTGGCAAGCGGATATGCCCGTGAGCATCCCCTGGAAGACCCACGGCAGGCCCTCCTGCAGGAGCCGTGGGTCCGAGTCGAACTTCGCAAGCACGGAGCACTCGCACCGCTCCAGGAGGACATATGCGGCGTCGTCGGTGGTGAACGACCCAAGCAGCCGCGCGATGTTGGGGTGATCGCCGACCGTGCGCAGCGTCTCCACCTCTGTCCATGCGCGCTTGCGTCTCTGGGCCTGCGCGTGCTCCAGGTCCTTTCGCCTTCTGTCGGACGATGACGTCGATAGCCTTAAGTCGGGCCTGTCCCCCTACAGGGGGATTTTCGACGACAAATAGAAGATACCCCCAAAATAGTCAAAAAATAGTCCAAACATAGTCTGGGGACTATTTTGGGAGTATTTTTCTACCTTTTTGGAGCATTTTTGGATTGTTTTTTTTGTTTTGTCGAAGCTCCCCCTGTAGGGGGACAGGCCCGACTTAACGATGGCCTCCTCGGTGCCGATGGCGAGTCGAAGCGGATGATCTTCACCGCGATCTCCGTGCCGGTGGCACACTCCCAGGCGCTGCGCACCTCTCCGTCGGACCCCCTGCCGAGGAGCTCGCCCATCTCGAAGCCCATCTCGAACCTTACAACCCTCGTCAAAATTAACCTCAAAAATGTTTGACTTAGTTGAACTGCTTGTCGGAAGATCTGGGGCCGAGTATCGATGAGTGCGGGGTACTTGCATGCGCCGCCCCTCCAATGTCGGTCGACGTCAAACTTTCGAGTAAAATTCGGTCAGACGATCTTTGCCCTCGCCCCGACATTGAAGGGGCGGCGTGTCGACATTGAGGGGCGCGCCGAAATCGAAATGACGTGCCAGCAACTGTTGAGGTTAATTTTGACGAGGGTAGTAGGAGGCAACTACCGGGAGGTTCTTACGGGGCGCGAAAACGACCTTAGCCACTGCTTTTCTTTTGTTGCTGCCTTTCAGCCCGCAGAAACGAAGCAGTGGTTGTGGTCATTTTCGTCGAGCTTGGCACCAAGGAAATGACCACAACCACTGCTTCTTTTTCGGCCGGCTGGAAGGCGGCGCAAACAAGAAGCAGTGGCTGTGGTCATCTTCCCGTCCCGCAGTTCTCGTCGGACAGATTAAGGAAGATTGAGCCCCATCTGGAAGCTGTTACGCCGGAGTTGGCCTCGGACTAAAGCAGGATGGAGCCGGATCAAGCGGGATTCAGCGGGACTGAGCCGGATCGGGCGGGATCAAGCTGGAGGAAGCCAGACTTCGGACCAGGGCGAAAACAGCATTGGGCCTCCCAGGAGCTTCGGCGGTGGACAAACCTCCCTTTAGTAAACCTCCCCTGAGTGAAAACGGCCTGGGACCGAAACCGACGGACCTGGACCCGCAAAAATGACGGCCGCGACGCCCTCTCGCGAACCGAAAACGGCCAATTCCTGAATCGAACGGTCAGGGTAGGATCAATCTGGAGGAAGCCGGATTTCGGACCAAGGCGAAAACAGCATTGGACCTCGCAGGAGTTGCATCCGAGCGAGAATGGGGCGGAGGAGGAGGAGGAGGAGGAGGAGGAGGAGGAGGAGGAGGAGGAGGAGGGGGAGGAGGAGGAGGGGAGGGGGAGGCCTGTCGAGGCTGTCGCAGGGCGCCGCCGCGGCCTGCACGGAGCCCGCGGCGCAGCCCATCGGGGCGCCCCCGCCGGGCGCCCCGGCGGGGCCGCGGCTGCCGGGCGGGGCGCCGGGGCAGGAAGTGCCCCGGGCCCGGGGGGCGCCATAGGCCGAGCGGCTCGAGCCAAGATGGCCGCGGAGAATCCGGGGCGAGGCTGGCCAGCGCTCGGACGTCGGTCCGAATAGATGGGGCCGGAGGATCGCGCCGCATCGACGATACATCGGCGATGTATCGGCGGCGCCAGCGATACATCGGCGACGTCGGCGTGGAGAGCATCAGGCTCTGCATCGCGCCGCATCGCCGGTGCATCGGCGATGCGGCGTGATCTTCCGACCCCACCTTTTACTCCGACCCCATCTTGGAAGCCTGACAGGGAAGAGGTCGGGAGTTCCTAGGCCGGCCGCGGACGGGAACAAGCCAGATTGGACGATGTCTGGGCACGTGGCTCCCCTTGCCGTCGCTCGGACGTCCGCTTCCCGTGCATGCTTTGGCTCCGTGCGCGCTTTTTCCTCGATGACCCAAGATGCTCATCGGTTGTCCTCACAGAAACAAAATGCACACGTCCGAACGATGCCAAAGCCCCAGCCGTCAGGACCTCTTCTGGCAGACCAAGTTCTCGCGTCTGACGGCCACGGGGCCCGGTGAGGGCCCCAGAAGGAAGGATATGGCGGAAAAACCTCGCGTCGCGCTTGCTTCGGAAACGCGAAGGTGTAAAGGGTGGCGTCGGTCCCAAGCCTCCTCGAAGTCCGGGCGCCCATGTTTTGACATGCCGGGCATGTTCGCACGGTTTCGGGCCATGGGTCCCCCACGAGCACACAGGGGCCCCGGTCGTGATTTTCGACGATGCTGATTTTTTCGCGACGTCGGACCTCAAGGTCGGCCCCGACCCCCCAACGTCGAAGGGGCACTCTCGAAAACCAGCGAAAACTGCTTTCATTGCTTTTCGAAGATTTCCTTGGCTGTTGGAGCTTTTCTCGCCTGCTGAATGCTTGCCGGCAGCTGCTCCTCGCTGGGAGCGTGCCCGGAATCGCACCGAATGGCAGCTGGAGGGCCGAGTTACGGCACGCAAGCGAGATCTACACCGCGCACGGAACAAAAACAATCGGACGGATCTTTGTTCGCCTCAGGGCCCTCGCCGAACCACGGTGCTGTCAACAATGCGGCTCTGGACGAGAAGCCGGCCCTGGGTGTAAATGGTCGGGACTTCCGGGGGCTCCGTACAGTGAGACCAGATCCGACGGATACGCGGTAAAGATACAAGGATTAGGTCGGGACTGTCTTCGTACAGGCAGATTTTGGGTGAACTATGAAACAATAGTTTTAAGCATGAAAGAAATAGTTAAAATAATAAACAAATCGTCCCAATGCAAGTTTTCCTTGTTTGTGCTTATTGTTGTATGCGGTGCTATAGTTTTTACCGTATCTTGGGAGCCGCGGAGACGAGCGCAGCGCTGGCGCACCCCCCCACCCATCGATGCAAAGCTGACGAGGCCGACAGGAAACGACGGTGACATCGTTGCGTCGCTTCGTTGCTCAGCTTTGCATCGCTGGGGCGAGGGGTGCGGCGCGGGCCGCGCGCTCGTCCTGGCGCGGCGACAGATTCGGCTGCCGCCGCATGGGCGCGTCGCTGCTTTCCGTTTCGGCCGCTTCCCGAACGGCGCAATCTTCCTGGGGCGGCGCAGTCAAAAACTCTGTAGCACCCGGCAAGTATTCCTCCTGTAGAGGGACATGCCCGACTTAAGACCAAATCAGGCGGTTGCGCGGTAAAAGGTGCAAGGCCCTTGGACTTCCAAGCCGGGGCCGAAGTTGCAAGCCCGTGGCCCATCGTTCTTCAAGACCACGTCACAGAAATAATTTCGAACACCCAGACAAGTATCGAGACAGTGTCGAACGAGTATCGCCCCCCAGGGCCCGACACGTGAAAACCCTCCAATTTCGGTACCTTCCTGGTGCTCGAGATTCTGGTGATCAATGCTAAAATAAGTAGGAGCATCGTCAGGGAAGGCTTTAGGGGCGCCCTTGGAGCGCTACCCATCCTCTGCAGGGGACACAAACAAATAGGCACAAATCCCAGGATCCTCTTATTTTCTGGTATGTTCCAGACTTTCGTCGTCCCCCCCACTTCCCAGATGTTTAAAATATCTTCCTGGGGATCGACAGTTCATGGTGTCTGTGCGTTGTTCCCCTCCTGATCCTTGTCGTCCTGCTCGACTGCGGCAGCAACCAAGACGTCGGATGTCCTGCTTTTGTCGCCACGGCGGTGTCTGAAGGGGCCCAAGGACACACAAGGAAATACACACAAATAAAATAATTCCCTATATTTTCTTATATTTTCTGGATTTTTGTCTTCCCCCCACTTGCCAAATTTTCCCATATGCTCGGTGGAATCGACGATTCATTGTGTCTGTGTGTTTCTTTCCCTCCTGAGTGTCCCTGCACAGATCCCCACCTCTTCCCCAGGGCCTGCTCTTCCCCCCGGAGGCCTTCTTGGGCTTACCGCCCCCGGGGCGCGGCCAGGGCGCCCGACGGCAAACACAAAACACGGCCGAACACCTTCCGCCGTGACGTTGTTAGGACGCCGGCATGTCTGGAGATGCATCGGCCCTCTGGGGCGTCGGCGGCGGCGGGCGCCGCCGCCCCCGTCCACGGCGGCCTCGCCGGCGGCGGCAGCGCAACCAGCGGCGGCGGCGGCGGCGGCGGCGAAGACGAGGACACGGCAGCGGCTGCGGCGGCGGGCGCCATCGCCGCCACTGCGGCTGTCGTGAGCGGCGGTATGAGTCCCAGACCTCCCGCATATCCACGAGCAGAAACTCGAAAGTTGTCTATCGCTGTGGTGTCGGCATGTGGATGGGACGGCGGCGGCGGCGAGGACGGAGACGATGACGAGAGGAGGAGGAGGAGGAGGAGGAGGAGGAGGAGGAGGAGGAGGAGGAGGAGGAGGAAGTGGAGGAGGTGGGGAGGGGGGGAGGGGAAGGAGAAGGACCAGAGTTGACCCCCAGGACGCATCGCCGATGCTGGAAGACACCACCCCGTCCCAGATCTCCTCCCCATCAATCCCCTCAACATTTTCCCTCTGCGGGAAGCGCCACCCCTTGAATGACAAGCACCCGGTGGGCCGTGCCCTCCATCGCGCCCTCGTTTGTTGTGTAGAGGATCCACCCTCCGTCCTTCGCGGTAGGAGAAGCGCCAAGAGGTAGGATGATGGTGGCCAAGGATGTGTCACAACAGCCTCGTGCTGAAAGGGGTCTGCCTTCCATGCGTGCGACCGTCGCCCCAATGTCAGGAAAACTTCGGGTCTGCAACAGTCGCGGACATCTGTAGCGATAACCCCATTTTGACAAGGAGCCGCCATCCATCCGTGTAGCTGCTGCACACATGGAAACTTCGGGTCATACGATTTGGGGCAAAAACTCGAAAGCCGCAATTTGAACAAGTTCGGCCCTCCATCCTTGTCGCTGTTGCGCAACTGGAACTTTCGGGCCGTATCAGTCGAGCGAGTATCAAGCGATAGCCGACTATTGATACCGAACAGGCCTCCATGTTTGAGGTTGCTGGAAACTGTACAATGAATCTGCGCGGCGCTGCGGCGAGAGCCGCATGCTGAAAACGACCGTCGACGTCTTTTAACTTCACGATCGCACATCAGCAGGAAGTCTCACGCGAAGCGCCGTTTCCAGCCTATGGGCACGACCCATGGTGCGACAGCTGAGGACTCAGATTTAAAAGGAAGAGGGAAAGAGGAAGAGAAGGATTCCAAGGACGTCGATGGCCTCTCCTCGAGCTTGCTCGATCCTCAGTGCTGCCTTCGAAGAGGAGAACAAACCATTCACAACTGGGGAAGCTGGGCTCCTCATCCCCCCCGGGGCCCAGTGTGTCACCGAGGGGCTGGGGACCACGGCTCCCCCAATTGTGTCTGGCCTGGGGGGGGGCGACAAGTCTCGGGCGCGGCCGAACCGACCCATGGCAAACCATCCTAAAACAGCGCCAGGATCGGGATAAATCGCTCCAGAGCGTTCCGGAGCGCTCTCAGAGCGTTCCGGAGCGCTCTCAGAGCGTTCCGGAACGCTCTGGAGCGGCCGCGGCGCCCAACACATCCTCCAAGCCCGCCGATTCTCAGAGATTTCGAGTTATCCCGATCCGATGTTGTCCCGATCTTCGCGTCGTTTTACATCGATCCGCCGGGCGAAAGGGGGGGATAGCAAAGGGGGGGTTGAGAATCAGCTCACGTAGCTGATCTTCCCGGCGCCCCCCGGCGCCGGAAGCGGCCATGTATCGAGGCATGGGCCCCTCGGTGAGGCCGAAACCAGCTGCATGCAGCAAATTTCGTATAAGATGAAGCCGGGATCGGGGCAAAATTTGACCGGGATAAAAATCATGCTCGGTTTTTCAAATCACCAGGGGCGCCGCCGAACGGGCCTGCCACGCCTTGGGCGCCATCGGCTTCGCGAGGGAAGAAATGCGCCCCGGCGCGGATGAAGCCACGGCGCGTATTTGGCCACGCGCACGCACGAGGGAATTCAGCGCCAAGCGCCTTTCACTCCAGAAGGCCCTCTTTCGTCCGGCGCGACTCAGGCTTCCCTCGCATCTCAAGCTTCCCTCCGCCGCCGCCGTCGAAGCTCCCCTCCGGCCGCGCGCAGACGCCCTTGGGGCGAGGCGAGGGGCACCTCACGGAAGGGGATTGCTTGCGAGGGGTCGGCTAGGCCGCCCTTCCAGAGAGTTATTTTTTAGCACTGGAGACCTAAAAACCTGAAAAGCTGAGCGAAACAGGCTAAAACCAAGACGTAGAATAGCTTGGGGATAGGTTTTTAAGTCGGGTGCTATTTTTTAGCCCTCCTGGAAGGTCAGGGTAGGCCGCCCCTGCAAGCTTGGGCGGCCGAAATGCTGGGACGGAGGGCGGACACAACGGAAGGCGACGCCCAACGGCAATTGTGGTCCCGAGCCAATATGAAGGGGCCCCAGGGCACACGCATAAATACACACAAATAAGATGATCCCCCATATTTTCATAATTTTGGGGGTTTTTGTCTTCCCCCCCACTTCCCATATTTTCTGGGGGATCGACGATGAATTGTGTCTGTATGTTTTTTTCCGTCCTGACAATAGCGGCCGCTGTTGGCCGCAGCGGCACCGACACCAATCCTGCCCAGAATGGGCAGGAACAGGTGTCGGCATTCGTCGCCAAGTCTTTCCGAGCGTGTAACAAGACACATGCGCAACTAGGGGAACAACAAGTGACATAAACATAGAAACTCGGAGGTCCGCGCGGATTTCTCGGATCCGCGCTGGACCCCCCTGGGGGCGCCTCCGGCGCCGCCCCTGGCGCGCTCCGCGCGCCAGGGAGGGGGGTCCAGCGCCGATCCGAGAAATCCGCGCGGACCTCCGAGTTTTCATGCTTATGCCACTTTTTGTTCCCCTGGTAACGAAGGTGCGCGAAGACTTCTTGGACCTGCGCTGGACTCCCTCCCTGGCGCGCGGAACACGCCGGTGGCGTGGCGCCAGAGGCGCCGCCACCGGGGCCCAGGCGCCGACCCAAGGAATCCGCTCGGACCTCCAAGATGGGCCATTACCGCTGCAGGCTCCTCGTCTTCGAAGCCGATCCCCGCGGAGGAGGAGGGAGAGCAGACCTCGGAAACGATTCTTCCAGGTTGTGGATGCTGTTCATTCGCGTGCCGATCCGCCCGAAGGAGGGGGAAGGACAGACCTCTGAAGCTGGTGCTGACACATGCAAACTTAGCCTCATTCCAATTCGGCGGCGCGCCCGGGAGAGAAGCGAGAAGGGGCGGGTCTTCTCAGAAGACTCGGAAGTCCCCTGGCCTTCCGAGAAGACTTCTAAGCCTCCCCCGAAGGCACGAAAAACCTCTCAGAAGGCCCGAGGGCTTCCGAGACCGCCCGCCGCCCTCCGAGAGGGCCAACTCCTTCTCATTCCCCTTCCATCGCTCGTCGCCGACCAGTGTCGGTGATGGGCCGATATTCCGCCACAACTGCCACAGATAGGAGAGGGAGGAGAATGAGGATGAGGAGGATGAGGAGAAGGAGGAGGAGGAGCAGGAGGAGGTGAAGGGGGAGGAGGAGAAGGAGGAGGAGGAGCAGCAGGAGCAGGAGCAGGAGCAGGAGCAGGAGGAGGAGGAGGAGGAGCTCCCCATCATCCCTTCCCCCCCCCCGTCCTACGTATGGTGGTGGTGGTGGAGACTTCAACTTGGCCCACCAGCCGGCCCGCCCCTCCACGAGCGGAGGAAGGGCAGCAGGAGCAGCCGGAGCCCCGCCCCTCCCCCCCCCCTGCCGCCGGCCGCGGGGGGGGGGGGGGGGCGCGTCCTTGCCCCCGCCCGCGGCCGCGCCTCCGCCGCCGACCTCCCAGGGTACTGGCCATCGCTCGGACGTCCATTCCCTGTGCTTTTTTCGGTCTCGTGCGTGGTTTTTTCGCCACATGATCAATTGGATGCTCCTCGATGGTCCTCGCCGAAGGAAAAATGCACACGTCCGAGCGATGCCAAGGGCAAGGCAGGGGGGGGGGGGAGCTGGCAGGCGGAGCGGTGCCGCCGGCGCTCCGGCGGAGCAGAGATCATCGCGGCGGCCCTCCTCGAGAAGGCAGGCGCGTGGAGCGCAAAAAGAGCGCGGCACGGAGGGGCTCCGGCTTCGGGGCTTGCCGTCGCCAGTTGCTGACTACCTTTCCAGACCACCCCAACCCAACCCGAAGACCCGAACTTCGGGTTGGGGGGGGGGTAAGGGTTCCATCTGTCTTTTTTTTCAATGCTCCCCGACGACCCCCCCCACCTGGAAATGGAGGGCAACTTGAGGCCTTCGGGTTGGGTTGGGGTGGTCTGGTGGGTGGTGAGTTGCGGCGCGGACGCTGACATGTTGGGGTCCTGGGGCGCCGCCGCGTCGCGGGAGAATCTTGCGAATGATTTCGAGGGGGGATGTATGAACGTAGACGTTCGTTTTGGCTGTCCCGATGTAGGGACCCGAACTCCATACACCGACGCCTTTTCTGGCCCTGCACTGGAATTGTCACAAGAGAGCGGATCATGGTGTATACGCGATCTTGGTGTATACATGTTCTGTTGTTTCCCAGGGGCGCGGGAACAAACAGTGTACGCCACACCTCCCCGACGTCGTCCCCGACCCTCAGGATTGAAAAACAGCCCGCCAACAGTAGTATATGTTCCAATTTCCGACGATACAAGACACGCAACCCGTAGCGCGTTGACACGGAGCTCAGCACTTGTACTGAAAACGTACGTCTAGCGCGTTACTGAAGGGGCCCTGGGACACACAAATAAATACACACAAATAAAAGGATTCCCCATCTTTTCCCATATTTTCTGGGTTTTTGTCTTCCCCCCCCCTTCCCATATTTTCTCATATTTTCCTGGGGATCGACGATTAATTGTGTCTGTGTGTTTTTGTTCCCTCCTGAGATACGTTCGGCGCGCGGATCGGGTCGGGTTTCAACACGGACGTACCCGGGCAATTAAGACTCGGAGGTCCGCGCGGATCGCGCTGGGTCGTCGCCTGGGTCCCCCTACTCGCCATCGCTCGGACGTCCATTCCCTGTGCTTTGTTCGGTTTCGTGCGTGGTTTTTTCGCCAAATGATCAATTGGATGCTCCTCGATGGTCCTCGCCGAAGGAAAAATGCACACGTCCGAGCGATGCCAAGCCTCGATGGTCCTCGCCGAAAAAAAAGCACACGTCCGAGCGATGCCGAGCCTAGCGGCGCCTCCGGCGCCGCGCCCCTGGCGCGCTCCCAGGGGGGTCGCAGCGCAGATCCAAGAGAGCCGCACGGACCTTCGACAGTTTCTGCATACTCCCGATTTCGTAATAAAAGGGAGGGGGTCTGGACCCTCCAAGACAAGCCATTTCAGACCTCTCCCGTGGGAAAACCCTCCAGAACATCGTCCCCAGACCTCCCAGGCCCTCCAAGATAGCCTGGAAGAGACCCCCCCCGAAATGAGACCCCCCTCTCCCTTTATTACCGAATCTGGGGCATTCCTCGTGTAGCAAATAGACCTGTCCATCAGCGACGCAACGGGTTTTAGGGTTTTAGGGTTTTAACAAATGGTCGCAGCCACGCAGAGGGCGTGCGTTTCGACGCCCCAAATGCTCGGTCTCCAGTACTTCTACGTGGCGGCGCCCCCGCAGGCACGCAGAGGGCACGCGTGGCGACGGGGGCGTCGCCACGCAGAGCTTCTAAAGACCAAACATTTTGAAAACCAATTGTTTCCACTACTAAAGCAGCAAGCAGACCTGACCGTCAGCGACGCAACGGGTCAATGCAAACGGACTGGCGTGGCCCACAGGAGGTCCGCTTGCGAACCTCTGAGCTGCTGCGCTCCGCGGTGCCCCGCGGGCCCGGGGAGCGTCGCCATGCCGATGTAACCTCCCCCCAAACAAGCAGTGCTCCCCCTCTCCTCTGGAGGGGCCCAGGGACACACAAACACATACACATGACAGGATTCCCTATATTCTCATTTTTTTCTTTTGATTTTCGTCTTCCCCCCCACTTCCCATATTTTCCAATCTTTTCCTGGGGGTCGACGATAACTTGTGCCTGTGTGTTTGTTTTCCCCCCTGATCCTCGCTGCAACCAGACGTGTGGGGGAAGGGGGGCGCCAGGGGGGGGGGGACTGACCACCATCCAGACCACCCCAACCCAACCCGAAGACCCGAATTTGACCCGAATTTCGGGTTCGGGGGGGGGGGGTCGGATTCCCTGGGTTTTTGGAATGTTCCCCGACCCCCCCCCCACTGGAAATCGAGGACAAATTTGGGCCTTCGGGTTGGGTTAGGGGTGGTTTGGTGGGTGGCGAGGGACTGGCTCGAGGAGGGTGCCCCGCGAGCTGGGATCGGCGATGCCTCGCCGGTCGATCGGCGCGAAGCCGCCGCAAAAAAAACAAAACGCATGCGCACGCGACGCGGCGGGGGGCGGGCCGTGGGGCGCCCCGCTCGGCCATGCATGGGCCACCGGGGGAGCCTGTGCGTGGGCCCCGGAGCCTACACCCGGCGAGATGCTCGAGAGATCATGGGTTCAGAAATCCATAGCCTCACTGCTTGACTACAAAAACCCAGCAGTTCTATGTTAACATCCTAAGATTTGCATGGGAACATCAAGAATCATCGAGACTCTGGCCGAAGACTGAGGTTTTCTTAAGCGTCGCCTAAGGTGTATCCACCCCTGACCTTGCCCCTGAGCTTAGCTGCCCCGATACGCAACACGCAAGACGTAGCGTATCGATACGTAGCTCGTGCACGCAGGCTGAAAACGTAGGTCCAGCGCGATGCATTCGCCGACACGTGGTCCAATACGTGGAGCCAACACGCAACGTATTGACACGGACGTCTTGAACACGGGACATGTTGCGTTTCAAAACGCGCGTATCGAGGCAACTAAGCTCTCAGTGGAGCGAGGAACGATGAGGGAGAACGAAGAGGCAGAGAACTGCGGCCGACCTGACTTGGCACGAAGGGCGCGGACGCCCTGCAGGAAACGGGACCTGGACCCCGGGGACTTCCCCCGGGACCAGCCCCTCAAGGCCCGTGGAGGCCCCCGGGAAGCCCGAGAAGACGGCGAAGACCTCGGGACCCGTCTCTCTCTCAGGACCCGTTCCCACAATCTGGAAGGGGCCCTGGGATACACAAATGAATACATACAAATAACCAGATTCCCAATACTTTCTATATTTTCCGGGTTTCTGCCTTCCCCCCCACTTCCCATATTTTCCTATATTTTCTGGGGGAATCGAAGATTAATTGTGTCTGTGTGTTTTTTCCTCCTGAACAATCTGGACGTCGTGCTTCAGTCTTCGCAGCATGGCCGACCCCTTCTCCCAGACCCATGTTTCACCCCGGGCTGTTTTTTGGCAGTCCCGTGGCCTGGTGAGGGCCCCCAGAAGCCGAAAAAGTCTAAACACCTCCCGTGGTGATTACCTCACAGCGAAGACTGATAGGTTTCTAATAGGGTCAAAAGAGAGCATCATGACGCCCCAAAGGGGTCTGGGCGCGATCCGGGGGAGGGTGCCGGGGATTTTTTTAGCCAACAATAACACACTTCGTGGTCTTCGAGGTCCCAGAACTCCATTCCCGGGCCACGTTCTGAAAGCCCGGAGCCAACTGTAGGCCACTTTGTGGTCTTCGAGTTCCCAGAACTCATTCCCGGGCCACATTTTGAATGCCCAGAGCCACATGTAGGCCACTTCGTGCTCTTCGAGTTCCCAGAACTCCATTCCCGGGCCACATTTTGAATGCCCGGAGCCAACTGTAGGCCACTTCGCTGGCTGAGGCTGCTGAGGCTGAGGCAGGCTGAGGCAGGCTGAGGCTGAGGCCGAGGCTGAAGGCAGACTGAGGCTGAGGCTGAAGCAGGCAGGCTGAGGCTGAGGCTGAGGCAGGCTGAGGCTGAGGCTGAGGCAGGCTGATGCTGAGGCAGGCTGAGGCTGAGGCTGAGGCTGATGCAGGCTGAGGCTGAGGCAGGCTGAGGCTGAGGCCGAGGCTGAAGGCAGACTGAGGCTGAGGCTGAGGCAGGCTGAGGCTGAGGCTGAGGCTGAGGCAGGCTGAGGCTGAGGCAGGCTGAGGCTGAGGCTGAGGCTGATGCAGGCTGAGGCTGAGGCAGGCTGAGGCTGAGGCCGAGGCTGAGGCAGACTGAGGCTGAGGCTGAAGCAGGCTGAGGCTGAGGCTGAGGCAGGCTGAGGCTGAGGCTGAGGCAGGCTGATGCTGAGGCAGGCTGAGGCTGAGGCTGAGGCTGAGGCTGAGGCTGAGGCAGGCTGAGGCTGAGGCCGAGGCTGAAGGCAGACTGAGGCTGAGGCTGAAGCAGGCTGAGGCTGAGGCTGAGGCAGGCTGAGGCTGAGGCTGAGGCAGGCTGATGCTGAGGCAGGCTGAGGCTGAGGCTGAGGCTGATGCAGGCTGAGGCTGAGGCAGGCTGAGGCTGAGGCCGAGGGTGAAGGCAGACTGAGGCTGAGGCTGAAGCAGGCTGAGGCTGAGGCTGAGGCAGGCTGAGGCTGAGGCTGAGGCTGAGGCTGAGGCTGAGGCAGGCTGAGGCTGAGGCTGAGGCTGAGGCAGGAGGCTGAGGCAGGCTGAGGCTGAGGCTGAGGCTGCAGGCAGACTGAGGCTGACGCTGAAGCAGGCTGAGGCTGAGGCTGAGGCTGAGGCAGGCTGAGGCTGAGGCAGGCGATGGGGCTGAGGCTGAGGCTGAGGCAGGCTGAGGCTGCTGATGCTGAGGCTGGGGCAGGCTGAGGCTGAGGTGCAGGCTGAGGCTGAGGCTGATGCAGGCTGAGGCTGAGGCAGGCTGAGGCTGAGGCCGAGGCTGAAGGCAGACTGATGCTGAGGCTGAAGCAGGCTGAGGCTGAGGCTGAGGCAGGCTGAGGCTGAGGCAGGCTGAGGCTGAGGCTGAGGCAGGCTGAGGCTGAGGCTGTGACTGCGACTGCCGTTGCCACTGCGACTGCCATCGCGAATGCGACTACGACTCCGAGAACAACAGAATCCTACAACAGGATTCTCATCTGAATCTTAAAGGGAATGCTTCCAGATATGCTCCTACACATCGCTGTTAGGTTGCTTTGCCGGGATATTTGTTTGTCATGACGCGAGGGGTCTGCCACGAGAGGCGAACATATCCATATCCGCGCCCTCGCGGTCTGGATTTCGGGGTGCTATCCCGCGGATGCGCGGTCGCGCGGATACATTCCGCGCGGGGCATCCGCGACAGAACGCTCCATATCCGCGGGGTCGCGGCCCATGGGCCGGGCCCGCGAGGCCGCGGATGCGGATATGCTTTTCGCCCACGAGCCTGGGTTTGCTGCGTGCTAGCACGGGGGAACACGGGTCCTGAGGGACACGGGTCATGGACCCGCTCTTCCTCCCAGGACCAGCTCTTCCTCCCAGGACCAGCTCTTCCTCCCGAGCCGACCTCGGACGGTCCGCGAGGGCCCGTGGAGAGCTCCGCGAGGGGGCCCGAGAGCAGCGAACAAAAAAACCTTGGGGGACCCGTGTTCCTCAGCATCGGTTTCGCCCGTGGGGGGAATGCGGGGGCGGCCACGGAGGGGGGCGTCCACGAGGGGGGGGGGTCGCACATCATGGCCGGCGGCACGCGCGCGGCCCAGGGGGGGCCGGGGACGTCCTGAAATCAGACGAGGCCCCATGAAATCTGGGGAGATATCTCATGGCCCCCGCCATGATATCCATCCCCCCCTAGTCTTATGCTGCTCCAATCGTACTTGAGGACCACCTCCCAGAAATAATTTCGAGCACCCGGAAAAATGTCGAGACGGTGTCGAAACAGTGTCGAAACAGTGTCGGACGAGTGCCTCCCAGGGCCCGACACGCGAACACCCTCGGGTTTCGGTACTTTCTGGTGCTCGAGATCCGTTCTGGCGAACAAGGCTAAAGTAGGTCCGAGCACCCGGAAAAGTGTCGAAAAAGTGTCGAAACAGTGTCTCCCAGGGCCCGACACGCGAACACCCTCGAGTTTCGGTACTTTTTGGTGCTCGAAGTTCTTTCTGGTGATCCAGGCCAAAGTAGGTTGGAACATCATAACCCTAGTCATCGCCACACGCTTGGCCGCCCCCGAGCACTGCATGGCAGCTGGGAAGCGCGGCCTGCATGCTGTCCGGCCCGGACGGGTTGGACCTGGTCGGGTCGGAGCCGAAGCCGCAGGGGCTCGTGCCGCTGGGGAGCCGCGGCCCGGTTGCCATCCCCAGGGGGGCCGAGGGGCGGGGAGGGGGCATCCGCGAGGAGTGGAGAATCGAAGTGCCAACGGTACGAGCCCAGACATCGGGGGCGTCAAAGAGGGGGGGGAACACCTCATGGCCGGCGGCATGTGCGCGGCCCATCGGACGGGGGGGGCGGGGACGTAACGAAATAAAAAGAAGCGCCGTGACATCTGGGGAGATCTCATGGTCCCCGCCATGATATCCATCCCCCCATTGTCATTACCCCCTTCTCGGCCGCCCCCGAAAACATGCTCTCATCGCGGCCAAATGCACGATAAGGATGCAAGGGCCTTGGAAGGCCGTTTCGAGCTTTTCGGGCGGGGCGCGGCCAAGGAAAGTGGCCAAGGATGGACCGAGGCGGCAAGGATTCGAAAGAACCCGCGGGAAGGTGGCCCGTCCTTACCCTGCGGGTTGGATGTGCCCGGGATGCAGAGAGCCCGCCCCGGGGGGCCAGAGAGTGGGCACAAAAAGGTCGGCACTGCCAGCGGGGGGCCCGTCCTGGAACCGTCGCGAACGTCGGCTGTCGGGGGGGGGGGGGGGGCGGGGGATGGATCGATCCCTCCGACCCTTACGCCTTCGCTCCTGGACTTAGCTGCCCCGATGCGCAACACGCAACACGTCGCGTATCGATACGGAGCTCGTGCACGCAGGCTGAAAACGTAGGTCCGGCGCGATGCATTCGCCAACACGTGGTCCAATACGCGGAGCCGACACGCAACGTAGGGACACGGACGTCTTGAACACGGGACGTATTGCGTATCAAAAAGGGCGTATCGAGGCAGCTAAGCTTAGGGGGAAAACCAACCTACCTCGCTTTTGGCCACCCTCGCTTCCGAGAGATACCAAACGATGCCAAATTGCAGCCTGTACTGGTCAGGTCGCTTGACGAGGAGGCGCGTGGTATGGCTTGGTTTTGCCTGGAAGCGAAAGCGGGGTACGTAATTCACGCTCTGAAAGCTCCTGGACCCTTCCGTGCCCTCGGCGCCTCGGCCCCGGCGCCATATATCCTCGGCGCCTGGGGGCCCCGCGGGAGGTGGCCCTCACGGTGTGGACACCCGACATGGGCACGGACCACTCGGGAGCGGCCAAGAGTTAACGGGCGAAGAACGGTATAACATAAACTTTTTCGCCGTCGGGGACACCTGCCGCAGGGCGGCTGGAAAGTTTATACCCTTACGGTGGCACCGTAGGGGTATAAACTTTCCAGCCGCCCAGGGGCAGGTGTCCCCGACGGCGGAAAGTTTATTTGTATACCGTTCTTCGCTCGCTGAAAGAGGGGGGTGTCCACGAGGGGTGGGTGCAAGTCATGACTAGCGGCATGTGCTCGGCCCAGCGGGGGGGCGAGGGACGTAATGGAACAAGAAGAGGCGCCATGAGATCTGGGGAAATATCATGGCCCACGCCATGATATCCACCCCCACCTAATTAGTCATCGCCCCCCTCTCTGCCGCCCCCGTCGTCTGCACGCCACCCATCCGACTCGATCCGCTGAGGGGGCCGCTTGGCCCGGCCCGGGACAGGGCGCAATCGCCCTCCCCAACATGGCCGACTGCGACGACCGTAAGGCAAAGCCAGGACGAGGACACCAGAGGTCCTCACCGTGCACCAATCCTGCGACCAAAACTGGCCTGGCCGATCCCCCCCCCTTGGAGGCTTAGAAATGGGCACCAACACCAATGTCGAGGGTTGCCTCTACCAGGGGAGGGTGGTCCTGGATTTTGGTGTTGGTGGTCATATTTCGGCCACCTTGGCAGCCCGAATATTACCACCATCACCGAGATCGGGATCACATTTCCTCGGTGGAGGCACATCGCCGAGATTGGTGTTGGCGTCAACCTCTGGGCCTCCGAGGGCCCCCCCTGAAGTTCCACGCCTTGCCCCTCGGGGCCAGGACTCGGCGGCCGCTCGGGGCGATCCCGAGCACCCCCTGGGAGCGCTCGAGGCGGGGCGCCCGCTGCCGGAACGCGCCTCGCGCCTGGAAATCTGCCGGGAAGGCGAACATGCAAGAACACCTGGAACCTCGAGCCTCCCCACATGGTGAAGGGGCCCAAGGACACACAAACAAATACACGCAAATAAAATGATTCCCCATATTTTCCTATATTTTCTGGGTTTCTGTCTTCCACCCCACTGCCCATATTTGCCCATATTTTCTGGGGAATCGGCGATTAATTGTGTCTGTGTTTTTTCCCCTCCTGAGCTCGGGGCGATCCGAGCACCCCTGGAGCGCTCGAGGCGGGGCGCCGCTGCTGGAACGCACCTCGCGCCTGGAAATCTGCCGGGAAGGCGAGCATGCAAGAACACCTCGGTATTCCTAGGAATCCTTCGGGATTCCTAGGAATCCTTCGGAATTCCTAGGAATCCTTCGGCATTCCTAGGAATCCTTCGGAATTCCTGGCGATCCGTAGGAATTCCCATTAATTCTTAGGCATTCCTGGAACCTCGAACCTCCCCACCTGGGCCCGTCGCCCGTGCTGGACACCCCGAATCCCCCAAAAAGTTGACACTTCTTGGGGGCGCATTTCGAGCTTCCGCCGGCTTCCGCCGACCTCCCGCTGGCCGAGCCGCCGCCGCTCACCTTCGACGCCTGCCGCTGTGGTCTTCCGCCGAAGAAGCCATGGCAACGCCTTCGATTCTCGATGGGACGCGCAAGGACATAGTGACATACTAATCATGGAGGATGACGATTGATAAGTGACCCGGGGTCGTGTTCACGCGGCGGCGCCCGGGATGGCGATTAGAAAAAACCGGCCGCGGGCTGGACAACTATTTTCTTAATCGCTCTCCTCCGGTCAGAAAATTATGCAGAAATAACAAAGAACTTTTTTATATACAAAAGTCGTTCTCTCTCATTGTTTCATGAACCGTCATCCTGCAGTACCATGTGTCCTCCTCGGAGGCGTGCGTCCGACCCGAACACCTAGTGTGACCGCCCAGCTGGATGAAGGTTTCCCGAGCGGTATGGCCAGAGAGCGCCCGGAGCTTATACTATAGGATTTCTCGGCGCGCGCGTCGCCCTGGGGCGGGGGGGCGGGCGACGCACATTCAGTATCAATATGGTGGGGCTACGCCGACTCGAATAGGGGAAGGAAGACTGACATAAACAGAAAAGCACACGAGTTTGTGTGCTTAGGTCATTCTTCGCTCCCCTATCGACGGCGAGGACCCCTCTGGAGCGCCCCATTTTTCCCTCCTGACGCGCCGACCCCCGGCTTACGTTGCTCCCATCGTACTTAAGGACCACATCCCAAAAATAATTTCGAGCTCCCAGAAGTGTCGACAGAGTGTCGAAAGAGTGTCGAAGCAATGTCTCCCAGGGCCCGACACGTGAAAACCCTCGAGGCTTGGGGTGCGCTCGAAATTCTTTCTGGTGACCAAAGCTAAAGCAGGTTGGAACATCATCACCCCCGGCGCTCGAGGCCCCCCGGGGGGCGGCCCCCCGGGCTGCGGCCGCTGGAGCCGGCGGACTCGGGGCTCGGGCTCCGCAACTCCGCAAAGGGCGTGCCCTTCCGCTTCGCGACGCGCTGCTGCGTCGCGCCCCAGCGGTCGCCCGCGTCGCCCGCGGGGGCGTCCTCGGGGCTGCCGGCCCACGGGCGCCCAGGGAGACAGAGGCGGACAGGCACGCCTCCGGAGACCCCCAGCACGTCTGCATACCTCCTGGATGTCGTCGTTCCCAGACCCCCGACGTCATGAATTTTTCATGACGTCGACCCCCAGAGGTCCGGACCCATTCCCCGGGACCGGTTTTTCGTCCTGAGTCGTTTTTTGACGGTCCCGAGGGCCGGTAAGGGCCCCCAGGGGCCGAAAATCATGAAAAACCTCACGTCGTGATTTTTTCATAACTCGAGGGGGTCTGGGTTCGGCGGTGGACAGACCTCCCTTTCGCAGACCTCCCCTTCGTGAAGACGGCCTGGGGCCGAAACCGACGGGCCATTGCCCGCAAAGATGGCGGCCGCGGCGCCCTCTCGCGGGGCTCTGTTGGGCCACAGTGGGCCCCTCCGGGAGCGTTCCAGGACGGTGCTGGTGCGAAGCTACGGTCAACCCGTATAGGAAGGATGCGCGGTAAGGATGCACGGGGGGGCCTTCCCTGACCTTCCAGAGAGCTATTTTTTAGCACTGGAGACCTAAAAACCTAAAAAGCTGAGCGAAACAGCCTCAAATCAAGACGTAGAACAGCTTTGGGATAGGTTTTTAAGTCGGGTGCTATTTTTTAGCCCTCCTGGAAGGTCAGGGTTGGAGGGCCATGCTAGCGTTTTTCGAGCGAGGCTGGCCAGCGCAAGTCGCCAAGGATGGGCCGAAAGGGCAAGGATGCCAGGGTCACCTTGAACAATCGCTCATCCTAACTCTGCGGGTTGACTGTACCTCCCCAGACACCCACCATACGGCCACGACGGCATCACAACGGACCAAGCGAGGTCAGGCCGGCGTAAGAGGGCCCCAAGGCGGCCCAAGAGGGCCCCAAGGGACACGCAAGAATGCCTTACAGAAGGCCAAGACAGCCCCACGACAAACCAAACGAGTTGCATCCTCATCATCATCATCATCATCATCATCATCATCATCATCATCATCATCATCATCATCATCATCATCATCATCATCATCATCATCGTCATCGTCATCATCATCATCATCATCATCATCATCATCATCCTCATCCTCATCATCAGCATCATCATCATCATCACCAGCAACATCACTATCGTCATCGGCATCACCACCGTCATCATCACCATCATCAGCATCAGCATCAGCATCACCATCATCACCACCATCATCATCATAATCATCATAATCATCATCATTATCAGCATCATCATCGTGGTCGTCATCGTCACCACCATCACCAGCAGCATCATCAGTATCAGCATTAGCATCATGTTCATCATCATTGTCATAGTCATCATCATCAGCATCATCACCACCATCATCATCATTAACAGCAGCAGCAGCATACTCCTCCTCCTTATCCACATCATCATATTCGCCATCATCATCATCATCATCATCATCATCATCATCATCATCATCATCATCATCCTCCGCCTCACAATCATCATTATCATCATCATCGTCATCATCATGAGTATCATCATCATCAACGACGTCGTCACCGGCGTGGTCGCCATCATCTGAAAATCATCAACATCACCATCATTGTCACCACCACCACTACCATCATCATCATCATCACCATCGTCATCATCATCATCATCACCATCATCACCATCATCGTCATCATCATCGGCATCGTCATGGTCATCATCACCATTGTTAGCATCATCGCCATCATCACCATCACCATCACCATCACCATCCTCCCTCTCCTCCTACTCCTTCCCCTCCTCCTGATCCTCCTCCTCTCCTCCTCGTCATCATTATCACCACGATCAGCATCACCATGATGATGATGATGATGATGATGATGATGATGATGATGATGATCATCGTCCTCATCATCATGATCGTGATCATCAGCATCATCATTAGCATCATCATCTTCTGCACCATCATCAGCAGCATCATCACCACCACCATCAACATCGCCACCACCATCATACCCTCACCATCACCATCATCATCACCACCATCATCACCATCACCATCACCATCACCATCATCACCATCACCATCACAATCACCATTCCCAAATCCACCACAACCATTACCATACTTTCTCCACCACCACCATCATTACCAGCAACATCATCAGCATCGGCATCATCATCATCATCATCATCATCATCATCAGCATCATCATCATCATCATCATCATCATCATCATCATCATTATTATTATTATTCTCATCATCATAACCCTCATCACCATCATTATCATCATCACCATAGCCATCATCGCCAACACCTCCATCACAATCATCATCCAATCACTGACATCACCACCAACTCACTACCATCGTCATTCTGATCATCACCGTCCTCACCCTCATTATGCTTATCCCGGCTCTCCCCAACCTGGAGACACGAGGCGTCACGCGTGCCGGCCTCCCGTCCCCCCTCGAACATTCGCCACCCAGAATGCTGGGCTGGCGCGGCGGCGGGACTTGTCGCAGGGAAGTGGATAAATAGTCACAGATGCCACAGGATTCCCCGTACGTTTCCATAGTTTGAAGACTTTCGTCCTCCCCTCCACCTCCGAGAGTTTCCCATACTTTCAAGGAGTCGACGATTATGTGTGACTGTGTCTGTTGACAACTCAAGAGATCCTGGCGCCGCAAGAGTCGTTTCGCCCGGTTTCGGACCGCGGGCTCATCACAGATCGATCCATCTCGATAATGCCGCGGAAGGATAGGTCCAAGGCTCTGGTCGTAACTTTTGGCGACGTAGCAGAATTTTCAAAGCGTCAGATCTTAGGGGTCCAGACGTCCCCCTCGCGGGTCCAGCGCTGCCCGCCGCTTGGCTGGCCTCGCCTTCATGATTTGGCCAAGAGATTCTTCGATGAGCTGACGCTTCCTGGCGCGGGTCGCCCACGTCTCTCGGACCTTGATCATTGCCGACCCCCTCGGCTTAGGTCACGACGGAAAGTTCTGCTCAACTTTCAACTAATGGGGGCCTTCGCCGGGCCTCGGGACCGTCAACTAACGCCGCGGATGGAAAGCCGGGCCCCAGGGAAGCGATTGAGGCATCTTGGGGTCCATTTTCAATCACGATGTCAGGGGTCTGGGAGACAGGGCGGGGGGTCTGGATGACTTATCTGCCGCTGCTGCAGTTCCTCCTCGTTCCTTCCTACCCTCCGCCTCCTCCTCCTCCTCCTCCTCCTCCTCCTCCTCCTCCTCCTCCTCCCTCCCTTCCTTTCTTCTTTTTGCTTTTCTTACTCCTCCTTTTTTATTCCTCCTCCTCCTCCTCGTCCTCGTCTTCGTCCTCGTCCTCGTCCTCGTCCTCGTCCTCCTCTTCCTCCACTTTCTCCTCCTCCTCCTCCTCCTCCTCCTCCTCCTTTTCGTTTTTCCTCCTCGTCCTCCTCCGCCTCCTCCTCGTCCTCCTCCACCTCCTCCTCCTCGGCCTCCTCCTCTCCTATTCTCCCTCTTCCTTCCTTCCACTCCGCTTGGCGCCGCCCCCAGGTCGGGACGCGCGCCCGACCGGGCCGCGCGGCACGGGCCCTCACAGGCCGGCGAGCTGCGCCCGCGCGCTGCCCTTCCCAGCGGGCGAAGGTTGTTCGGCTGGAGCCCGACGCCAGGGCTCCGCACCCAGGGCCCCCGGGGAAGGGGTCGGCCGGCGGCCCCCCCAGGAGGTCGCTGGTGGAGCGCCGCGCGGGCGTGACCCCCCGGCAGCCCCGCTTTGGGCTGGGTCGCTGTCGGCGGGTAGTCGGCCAGAGGAGAGGATCCGTGGCCCGGCGGGGACCGGGGGCCAGGGGGCCGAGGCGCTGGACCAGGAGGAGCGCCGCGAACCGGGGCCCAGGTGGGCGCGCCCGAGAGGCGAACGCCGGCCAGGCCATGGGACCAGGGGCCAGGGAGGGGGCGGGGGACGGGGCCCGGGCCAAGCCGAGCCAGGCTTTCAGAGGGGCCCGGGCCCGAGGGTCGGTGTCCATACCCATCTTCTCCGGCACAGTGCCTAGGGTGCTGCCTGCGGGCGTCGGGGCGCTGCTGGCGGGGTGTCCTGGCTTGTTGCGTGCTCGAGCCAATATGTTTTGGCGCACGGGAGGACGGGAGAGGAGAGCGGCGGCCCCCCGGGTCGCCGTCCTGGGCTGGTCTTGCTGCGGCCTGCATGTGGGGTGAGGAGCGCGGAGATGCCCAGCCGGCTCTATGTGCCCCAGCACGCGCTGGCGTCCCGACCGGTGGCCAGATGCGCCGGCGGCGTGGGGTGAGGGTCTGGCTGGGCTCTCCCGCCCGTCCCATTGGCCGGGTCGTACCTGCTCCTGGGCACCCCCCCCGCCGCCGTCCTGGTCTGGCTGCAGCCCGTGGGGTGGAGGGATCGAGGTCACGTGGCGTCCCCCCCACGTCCGCCACTCGTCGGCGGCCCGGCCAGTGGCCAGACGCACCGGCGGCGGGGGCCAGGGGTCTGCCCCGTGCCCCGGCCTGTCCCACGGTCCGGGTGTCGACGGAGGGAGAGGAGAAGGGGCAGGACAGGACGGGGTGGGGAGGGGGGCAGGGGCACACGAGAGGAAGGGAAGAAAGGGGAGGGGGGAGGGCAGGGGGAGGGAAAGAACAGTTCCTCTTCCTCCTCCTCCTCCAACTTCTTTCTGTCGGCACCGGCGCGAGGCACAGACTCCACAGACAGAACCAAGACGTACCGCAAGAAAGGTGGTACACTGGCCGTGCTGCCCCGGAAACTCTGGCTTTCTCCTTCTCCCAGCGCCACTTCCTGGCATTTCCTCACTGCCCACCTCTCCTCCCCCATTACACTTCACAATTTCCTTCGTGCCTTACCACCCCTGCTGGTTGCCCATGCACTCCTATCCCACTTTCCCTCCCCCCATCGGCCTCCCCCGAAATACCTCTCTTCCTCCCCGTTCCCTCCCGACCCACTCGCTTCTCTTCTTTTCTCCGTCACCTTGTTCCTCTTTCCCGCCTTCGTCACTCCCGCGTTTCCTCCCTCCCGTCTCCTCTCTCCCTCCTTGCCGTCCTCCCCCCCCTCCGAGTTCTGCACCCCAATAAAGCGATGGGCGTAGACATGATGGGCCCCGGAGATCTTCTCCGCTTGCCCGAGGAGGCCCTCGACCAGTACGTGCGCCTGCTCAATCTCATCGAGACGCAGGCCCTGTGGCCTCCGCAGGTGCACCTCGCCATAGCCGCCATGGCCCCCAAGAAGCTAGGCGGCGACCGCGTCCTCGGAACCCTCCCCAACATTGCTCGCACCTGGAGCCGCTGGAGGGCGGGCCCATGCGACCTCTGGAGTGAAGGGTTACATGATTTTTGGTGCACGGCCATGAAGGGCTCCTCGGCTCTTGCTGCTGCGCTACACAAAGCCTTCCTCGACGAATCCGCCTGTATCATGAATTTCACAGTGGCTACGTTGCTCATAGATTTGGAGAAGTTTTGCGACCACGTCCAGCTCGGCAGGCTCATCGCGGTCGGCCTCGACGAGCATTTCCCTGCCATCGCGCTCCTGATGGAAACGCAGCTTTTCATTGCCCCCCGTGTCCTTCGCTCGCGCAGCTGGGTGGGCGACCCGATCCAGGCTTGGCAAGGGATTGTGGCTGGCTCGCCGAGGGGTACCACTCTAGCCAAGCTCTTTCTGCTCCCGATCCTCACTCACGCACGACACCGTGCTGGGGCGGCCACCGCGTGGACCTTCGTCGACGACGCAGTGGCGAGAGCCGAGGGCACCGCCAAGACAGTTCATCGAGCCATCCTTCAAGCTGGAGTGGCTCTCAAACAGGCCTTGGGCAATGCCAAGCTGCCCGTCTCGCCCAAGAGCGCCCTTCTCGCCAGCAACGCCAAGCTTCGTCCCTCCTTGGCGGACAGGCTTCGTAGGGCTGGGCTGCCGCTCTCCACAGCCACGGAGGCCGCCGACCTCGGCATCGACACCAGTGCTGGCACGCGTCGAGTGCAGCTCAAGGCAAGGAGCAGGGCTGCAGCAGCCGCCTCTCGCGCCAGGAGAACTGCACGCATGCGACGGACCGCCCCACAGGCACGCATTTCTCGCAGACTTTGGGCCACTGGAGCCCTTCCAAAAAGGAGTATATGGACATCGAGTCCGAGGCCTCGCGCGC